GGGGGGGGAGTCTGTTGGTGATGCCAATGCTTAAGCACTTAACTACTAGCTGAAAGAATGGTGATTAGTACCCACCCAAAGTACCTTGGAAGAAAGGACTGGAGATCTGCTTTCCAGAAGATCACAGCATTAAAAACCCCATGGGACAATTCTACTCTTGCACACATAAGGTCACCGAGTCAGAAATCTTTAAACAAAAAATAAAAACCTGTAATTTAATAAGATTATTTCTAATAAGATTAGAATTAACTCTGGTAGTGTGGTAGTGTAGTGGATAGGGAGCTCTGGTAGCATAGTGCCTAAGGCACTTGACTGCTAACCAGAAGGCTGGTGGTTCAAACCCACCAGCCAGTCCTCAGAAGGAGGATGGGGCAATCTACTTCCATAGTGATACTGCCTTGGAAACCCAAGGAAGGGGTCGCTACGAGTCATGTCCAACTTGACGGCACATAACAACAACAACAACAACAGTGTAGTGGATAAGGTGTTTGGCTGCTAACCCTATCCCGGTACCCATCCTCTTTAGATTGCTGAAACCAAAACCCACACCTTTTCCATCGAGTCAATTCGGACTGATAGCAACACCATAGGACAGAGTAGAACTGCCCCATAGTGTTTCTAAGACCATAATCCTTACAGAAGCAGACTCTCACATCTTTCTCCTGTGGTTAGCAGGAAAGCACTTAACCACTGTAGAGACTTTTATTTCTGGTTTAAGATAGATGAGTTTTCCCTTTTTTGGTTATCTCGCCTTTTTTTTTTTTTTTAAGATACCAAACTGTACTAAGGTGTTTGATCACTTTTACTTATATTTCTTAGAACATTTTTTGGATATGTCTCTTGTTTAAAAACTTCCTCCCATGTTGTTTTCATTGTGGTTCTTTATACTATAAAACTTTGGAACCCTTCTGATGAGCAGTGTAGCTCGATATAATATTCTAGATCCTAAATTATATACTTAAATATTTTGAGAACAACTCAGTTTTCTTTTTTTGTATTTTGATATCAATCTAATTTTTATCTCTTTGTATGTGATCCTGTTTCTCTCCACATGCTTTTAAGAATATTTTGTCTTTGATATTCATAAATTTCACTGGAATGGGCCTGCGTTTTTCACTGTAAGGTTATTTTTGTAATTCTAAGAATTAAAATTGTATTATATGCTCTATTTCTATTCCTTTCTCTTTCTGAGACTAATATTAATGATAGCATTTCTTCTTATCCATATAACAGCTTTTCTTTTTTATTTTCTGTATCATTACTCTTTGTTCTTTTGGGAGAATTACTTAATCTAAAAATTAGAAAATTTGCTTAATTTTCCCTCAGATGTATCCATTCTCGTATTTATTTCATTTCTTTATTCAGCTGTTTTATTTTGGTATCTAATATTTCAGGTTGCATTCTGTTGTGTCTTATGTTTATTTCTTATGTTGCTAATATCTTCCCTTAGACTATTTATTTGGCTAATTTCAAATTACTGTATCATCTGTTCTAAAAATACCTTCTGCTGATTGAATCTCTAACATGTTTTTATTCTGAAATAGTTGTGTTCCTCCAGTGGCTTGTTATTTCAGCCTGTGAGCCTGTTTTCTTTTGGGGCTGTTAGCTTCACTTTTAGATAGTGGTGTAGGCAAAGGCCAGATCCCAGGCCCTGTCAGCTCCTATAAGGAGCTCTGGTGGCATAGTGAGTAAGGCATTTAGCTGCTAACCAGAAAGTCAGAGATTCAAACTCACCAGCTGCTCCACAGGAGGAAGATGAGGTAATCTGCTTCCATAAAGATTTACAGCGTTGGAAACCCAGTGTGGTTCGCTATGAGTTGGAATTGACGCGAAGGCAGTCATGGGGGCAAGTGGATTAGCCCTTGATTAGGAAAGCGTAATCACTTACCCCACAAAATAGCCTGTCAGATCAGGACTTCACCCATTGCCTTCCAGAAATAAGACGCATTAAGAGTAGATATACTCTTAGATTATCATTCTCCAACCCTAGGAACTTGGCAGGGGAAAAATGAAGCTACAGCTGCCCAGAGTTAGTCTCCACCTGTTGTTTTTCCAGTTCTCACATGTATAGCCTTGGTTTCATTCTTGAGACACAAGGGTAGAGGTTGCTACAGGTGGTCGGGAAGAAAAGCAGGAGTCACCCAGCTCTTCTCCTGTTTTCATCCTTTACATCCCAGGCAACAGCCATCAACCACTCTTCAGGCCTGTTCTAAACAAACTCTAACTGTACCCGTTGGGGATTTTTCACAACGTTCTCTGCTGCCTTTTTTTCTTTTTTTTCATTTTCCCTCTACATTTCCTCTGTTACTGATCTTGGTTTAGGAAAGGAGCCAACCTGTCTTGCTAACTTACCATTATCATTGTGGGAAGTGTCTGTTTTATTCATTTATACTGTATGTTCCAGAGCCAATTTCTGCAAAAATGGGTATAAAAGTTCTCTTAAAAAGGAGAAAAACAAACCCATTGCCATCAAGTTGAATCCAACTCATAGCGACCCAATAGGATAGACTAGCCTCCTAGGGTTTCCAAGGCTATAAATATTTACGGAAGCAGTCTGCCTAATCTCTCTCCTGCAGAGCACCTGGTGGGTTTAAACTGCGGACATTTTGGTTTGGTTGGCAGCTGAATGCTTTAGTCCCTGCACACCAGAGGTCTTGAAAGTTCTCTTAACACACCTGTATTAGTTTCCTAGGGCTTCATAAAAAACTCATTGACTTTAAAACAATAGAAATTTATTGCTTCACAGTTTTGAAAGCTAGAAGTCCAAATTCAGGGTGTAGACAGGTCAGTGCTTTCTTCAAGATCCTTTCTTTGCTCTTCCCAGCTTCAGTAGCCCCAGGCGTTCCTGGGCTTACAGCTAAAGGGCCCCAGTCTCAGCCAGCTTCCTTCTGTGTCTCTGTTTCATCTCTTCTTATAAGGACATCCATCATACTCGATTAAAATTGGAATTTTTCATTCATAGATTTTTTTCATGAATTCAATATGTTATAATGCATTATATGTATATTTTTTTAAAATTAATTTTTTTAATTTTGAGATGACTGTAGATTTGCCTGCAGTTTTAGAAAAAATACAGAGAGATATGTGTACCCTTTAGGCAATTTTCTCTACTGGTAAAATATCACAAAAGTATAGTATAACATAACAACCAGGATATTGACATTAATACAATCCACTGAATGTATTTAGATTTCCTGTTTTACTGGTATTCATTTGTGTATGTGTGTGCTTAGTTCTGTGCAGTTTCATCACATAAAGCCCATGTAGCCACGACTAGTCAAGATTCTGAAGAGCTCCAGCACCACAGGGATCCCTTATGTCCTTGTGTCCCGTGCCCTTCATGTACCTACACTGGAGTTTTTGTAAACTTTCCACCCATCTTCTCCCATCCTGTCCTTAACCCTTAGCAACCACTAATCTGTTCTCCCTTTCCATAATTTTGTCATTTCAAGAATACTATATAAATGGAATAATATAGTATATAAGCTTTTGGAAGTGGCTTTTTTTTTTTTCACTCAGCACAATTCCTCAGAGATTCCGCTGAATTGTTGGATGTGTCAATTGTTTGTTCTTTTTTCTTGCTGAGTATTCCATGGTATGGATATACCACAGTTTACTCACGCATTGAGTACCTGTCACTTAAGTGAGACATTTATTGCTTTCAACTATAAGGATACTTGTGAAATTACAGTATCCTGCTTGGCTGTGCAGAGATAGGGCTCCAGCTGCTGCCCTGCAGAGTGTCTGCTGCTGCACAGTCCACGTGGGTCTGCCCTCCAGCTGTGAGTGAGGCAGACTTCAGGAAACAGTGCTGCCGCATACCATCTCTTCCCCTTGAAGGCAGAGACCTGAACCAGTTTATTTGTTTGGGTCAATTTCATAGTTTCTGAAGGACTGGAGAGTTGACTATTTACTCAGTAGCCACTTCAAACATGTAGCAAACAAGAAGGGAGGAGATACAGTCTTGCTGGTCATTGGATCACATGGTTCAGACAGCAGGAAAAGATCAGGTGTTCGTATGTTTATAAGCATTTCAACATTGATTGATATCACTTGTGGACAGTATCAGGGAGTGAAGATGACCATACACTATAAAGTTTTGTGAAAAATATTTCCTGTTCTTTTTATTTTGCTGAGACATATTTCTAGTAATTTTTAATCTTCAGAAAGAGTTGCAGGCTGAATATTGCATCTTAAATATTTTAAATGGCATATGTCAAATTGTGTGTGTGTGTGTTTATGTACTAAGCAAATGAAGCACTTTTCAAAGTCCTTTCTTATACCTAATTTGATCTTTTCTTTACCCCTCCATAGACAAAGAATAGAATCTAGAGTGTGTAAGGAAGCCATTAACAAATTTTATGTTATTCTTAAAGAAGAACTCATCAACATGGTAAACTCTTTTACATAAATTTGTTGGTCTAATTTTTTTTTTTAAACTGATCCTGAGAATTATGTTTAATTCTTAGAAAAGCTTGCATTTGCTGGCAATATGATAATAATGTCATTAAAACCTCCTGTATTGTACCATTCTGTTTTTAAGTGTGATGTATCTTAACATAATAAAAGTTATACATATTTTTATTTTGAAAAATACATGAAAATACTAATTTTTTGTTTTGTGTAGATTAAAGAAGTCCAGATGTTAAAAAATCTGAAAAGGAAGAATGCTCAGGTAAATGACTGACTTGATTAGACACATATGGTCATACCATACTAACCTATATAAAGACTTAACACTGGTTTTGGCCTTCAGATTTTGTATAACATTGAGTTGTTAGTTTGTTTTTTAATTGTGGCAGTTATGTTGGTAACTGAACATTTGCCATTTCTACAATCTTCACATGTACATTTCAGCAGCATTATGTCTGACATATTTCCAACCATCACCATTAACCATTCCTAGAGTTTTCCATAAACTTTAACAGAAGCTTAGTGTTCCCTAAGCATTGTGTCTTCCTTCACCCCATATAAGGTTTTTCATCTTTTTAGTCAGGCTTTATTTAATTGATTTGGTTGATCTGGTATGTACTATTGGTGGAAGCTAAGGAATGGGGACCCTAGTCATCTTTGTTCCCTAAAGCTAATCAAATATCAAAATAATTGTTTTCAAATCAAAGACAAGAGAAATTCAAGTTTTCTTTTTTCTTTTTGACTTTTTATTGTGATGTGGGTGAAATTTTACAGAGCAGATTCATTTTCATTGTGTAGTTCATACACATTTTGTGACATTGATTACAATCCCCATTTGCCATTTCTACAGTCTTCACATGTACGTGTGTAATAGTTCTCTTCTCACTTCTTCCCTGTGGTAACATTTTCCCTGTGTCCTTCTTTCCTATGCATTCTTGCCTACCAAGCTTTCTCCCTGTGCAAATGTTGCCCTTCTGATCTCCCATGGTTAATTGTTCAAAGGAGTGTATCTCCCTGGTATAATTTTTCAGCTTATATGCCTGGCTTTTGTTTGGCTGAGAGTTAAGTCATGGGAGTGAGTCCATTTCCAGGCCAGAAGGGTGTCTGGAGCCCATAGTGTTGGGAGTTTCACCAGTGTCCATCCAACCAGTAATCCTAGTCATTTTTATGTTTTTGAGTTTTGTTCTACATTTTTCTCCTGCTCTATCCAGAATCTCCCAATTTTGATCCCTTTTCAAGTGCTTATCATTGGTAGCCTGACACCATCTAGTTCTTCTAGTCCCAGGGTCATGTAGGCTGAGGTTCCTATGGTCCATTATTCCTTTGGACTAATGGTTTCCACATGTCTTTGATTTTCTTCACTTTCCTTTGCTTTAGGCGAGGAGAGATCAATAGTTGCATCTTAGATGGCTGCTTACAAGCTTTTAGACACTAGTCAACACTTACCAAAGTAGAATGTAGAACAATATTTTTGCATACTATGTTGTGCCAGTTGAGCTTGATATCCCCCCCCAACCATGGTCCCAGCAACTCACTTCTGCAAGGTGCTTGGTTGTGGCTAAGAAGTTATCTTACCTTTGTCCCATTAGTTCTATTATATACATGGACATTTTTATAGCACATACAAATAAGTATGTAGAAATATTGTCTGCCCAGCCTGTGTATGATCATGGGTATATTCCCATTTGCCTACCCATACCTGATCATCTTGCCTGTCTACCTGTGCATCCACTCATATAATAATTTTTGTTATTACTGATAATGCAGTATTGTGCTGTAATAGTGTTTACCTTTGTTGTCAGTACCTCTCTCTGTTTTCCTTTTCCTTAATGATATTGTGCTGGTCACCCACTTTTGGTATATTGCCTTTCCTCTCACCCAAATCAATATATTAACTAGCTAGCAATTTTCCCTCCCTCTCCCACCCCTCCCTGGTAACCAACAAAGAAACTTTCCTTCCCTGTGTAAACCTTGACTTTTTATAATAACAGACTTACTGTATTTGTCCTTCTATGATTGACTTATTTCATTCAGCATAACGTCCTCCAAGTTCATCCATGTTATGAGGTATTTTGCAGATTCTTCATAGTATTGCATAGTATTCTATTGTGTGTATGTACCATAGTTTGCATATCCATTCATTGGCATTTAAGTTGTTACCATCTCTTTGCTGTTGTGAATAGTGCTGTGATGAACATGGGTGTGCATATATCCATGTCCTAGATCTCTCCTCATTAGGATATATACCTAATAGTGGGATTGTTGGATCAAATGGTACTTCTGTTTGCAACAAGGAATCACCATACTGTTTTCCATAGTGACTCTACCATTTTTACAGTCCCACCAGTAGTGTATGAGAGTTCCTATCTCTCCACACCCTTAGCAGTATTTATTATTTTCTGTCCTGTTGAATTTGCTATTGTTACTGGGGTGAGATGATATCTCATTGTTGTTTTGATTTGCATCTCTCCAATGGGTAATGATCATGAGCATTTCTTCATGTGTCTGTTGGCTGCCTGTATCTTCTTTGGTGAAGTGCCCTTTGTTCATGTCCTCTGCCCATTTTGTAATTAAATTATTCGTCTTTTGATGTTGAAGTATTGAAGTTTTCTATAAATTTTAGAGATAAGTCCTTTGTTGGATATGTCATTGCCAAATATTTTTTCCCAATATGTAAGTTTTCTTTTTACTCTCTCGGAGAAGTCTTGATGCACATAAGAATTTAATGTTTAGAAGGTCCCAGTCATCTAGTTTCTCTTCTGTTGTTTGGGCATTTTTGGTTTGAAAGTCTATTTATTTCATAAATGAGAGCCCTTAAGTTTGCCCCAATTTTTTCTTTGATGAACTTTATTGTTCTAGGTTCTACATTTTGTTCTTCAATCCATCTTGAGTTAGTTTTTGTGTATGGTGTGAGGTATGGAGTGTTTCATTTTTCTGCAAATGGATATCCAGTTTTGCCAGCACCAGTTTTAAAAAAAGGCCATCTCTCTTCCCCATTTAATGGGTTTCAGCCCTTTGTCAAAGATCAGCTGTCCATAGGCGGATAGATCTATTTATGGGTTCTCAATTCTGTTCCACTGGTCTGTGTCTGTAATTGTACCACTTCCAGGCTGTTTTGACTACTGTGTCTTTCTAGTAGGTTTTGAGATTGAGGAGTGTTTTATGTTCTAAAGTTAACCTAAAAGTGACTATCAAGCCTAAAATGAGCACTTACATGGATAAGTATTAAATAATCCGTATTATTTTTGTGGATGTCAAAAAGCAAAACTTCCTAGAAAACTGTTCCCAGGTCATAGGTCAGCCTGGGAACAGTACTAGGTTGGTGGTGAGGAAATCTCATTTCTAATCCTAGTGCACCACCCTGAAAATCATACACCTATAGGTGTGGGAAGGGGAGCTTTGGTAGCGTAGTGCCTAAGGCACTTGACTGCTAATCAGAAGGCTGGTGGTTCAATCCCATCAGCCACTCCTCAGAAGGAAGATGGGGCAATCTACTTCCGTAGTGATACTGCCTCGGAAACCCAAGGAGGGGTCCCTATGAGATGGCACATAACAACAACAAGGTGTGGGAAACAATGCAGTAAACACCATCGACTTTCCTCATCTGTAAAATGAGGAGGTTTGGCCAAATGACTTTAGGGAGGGTACGTAGTAAAGCCCTATCAGCTCTAAAGTGGCATGAATCCAGCAGTGGAAGACCAGCTGTTCCCTAAACATTTATAATACAAGTAGATTTGAGGTGAATACATTTTATTTCAGTGGTTACAGGGCTTTTTTTTTTTCAGTTATAAGCAGTTATTGGTCATTTCTACACTGCTTATAAGTAGTAGGACAGTCTGAATGTCCAGCAGTACAATATTAAATAGTCACTGAAAGTGATAGCTAAGATAACAGAACTTATTATATTTAAGTGTTCCTTTTAAAATACAGATTGCACCATGACATTTCCCTGGTTCAGTATTTTCCAAGGACAAATTGATAAAATCTATACTCCTGAGCTCACAGGGTCTCTGGTAAGACCTTCAAAGTAGTTGTGAGGTAGATACTCCGCTCTTCTTTTCCTTTACTGCACATAACTATATACTGCTTGTATGTAGCAACTATCTTCTCTACTAGACCAAAGTTCTGTGATGATAAGAATTAAGTCTGTCTTGTTCACCACTGTATTTCCAATACTTGGCACAGTGTCTAGCACATGCAGTGTTCAGACTGTTACAAAATTAATTTAACAAAGGCATTGTTATATCACATAGGTGATTTCAGGTATCAAAAAGAAAAGGCAACGTTTGATTGAAGTCCAGGATGAACTGCTTCGGTAAGATGATATCAAAATCCTGTTGAGAATTGACCTAGAAGGATATAATTATGGTGTGCCATTTAGGGATAGTAGAACTGGCTGCTGCATTGCATCAAAACCTCATTATCTTTGAGCTTGGAAACTCAGTGAAGGTAAGTTACACTGCCTGGTGAAACCTTTATCTAAGGTGAAGTTAGCACTCATCTTCTGCCACCAGGTGTCAGAAGATGCCTTAGATACCTGAGAGGCAGCCTAAGTAAGTGCATGGACTTGAGCTGCCTGGGTGTGCATCCAGGCTGTGTCATAATGGCTGTGCAACCTTGGGCAAGTTAACCTGTGCGTTAGTTTTCTCACTTACAAAATGGGCAAAATAATAACGCTTGCACCTCATTAAGTGTGAGAATTAGGAAGTACTTCACAGTGACTGGCATATAATAAGTGTTATGTAAGTGTTAGTGGCTTTTGTTTATGTTGTTGTTTAACCCTTTCTCCTGGACCAGGAGAACTTCCCAGGCTTTGCAGGCCAGGGCTGTCTCCATGGCCTGTTTAGGAAATGAGAGCACACACCACCAACCAGTCAACCAACAAGTATTTTTGGTGCTCTTCCACGAGGCAGGACTGTCGTGTGAGCTGGAGAGTAGGGTAGGAAAGCAGGACCAGGTATGCTTTCTGCTTATGAGGAGCATTAAGATGATTTGAGATACAAGGTGATATTATCAAAAGAGACATGTATAATTAAGCACTAAATTTTAAAGAGACTGCCACAGGAATTTAAAGAAGGTAGAAATTGGTTATCTGGTCCACTGGTTTCTAAATCTAGCCTATGGACAAATGCTAGCCCATGATAAAGTTTTCATTGGCCCAGGCCAAAATAAGAAAAATAAAGGTAATACAATGGTGATGGCTAACACTTAAAAGCTCGCTATGTGCCGGACACAATTCTGAATGCTTTATACATCACCTTAGTCTTGTGAGGTAGGTTATTGTGGCTACATAGGAAAACTGCTTTAATTGTCATCAACATGAGGCCACTAAGACATGTTTTAAAAGACCAACCTCTTTTGTTCATCTTTTTATGTGACACTAGATGTTGAAAAGCGTATTTTGAAAAGAGATGGTTTTACATATGAACAACCTAAGATACAAGGAGGTAGCTTCCACACCAAGGCAGCAGTGGAGCCAGGATCTGTTGTCAGCAGTCTGACTCCTGACCCTGGCCCTGCCCGCACAAGACTGAGTTTTCCAGAATGCTGCATTTGTTTAATAAAAAACTGCTAGCATGACTTATAAAATTATGATACTATAGTTCTTTTTTATATCTTTATTCAACAAAATGAAAAATTGGCAGCCTTCCCCCCTCATATCCCCCTGCACTTCTGAAATCTTGGTTTTCTTTTGTATTTCATAGGTGAAGAAACTGAGGCACTGAGAGATGAAGCATGTGCCCAAGGTTACACATTCTTCAGCAGCCAGTGATAGTTTGTCCACTGGTCCTAATTAGACTTGGAAAGTGGGCGATATTTTGGCCTAGAGGAAGGGGCAATGGGAAGGCTTCTGCCTGTTTTCACTCTTAAACGGCAATGCCTACCTTCTCCTACCTGGGGGCACTAAAATTGACCAAATATGTTTGAATTCAGTAGTTCCCAAGATCCTAAAAATAACCTGATGAAAATGTAGGATCTGTAGGGCATATTCTTCTGTGTGCTTCATTGCTAATTATTTATTGGACATTGTGTTTCAGAGTTGTTTCTGTTTTAAATTGAAACCTAGAGTCCCAAATTTTATAACTTTCCACATATTTTTATACTTTCAGAGGCAAAGAAATCTTAAATCATCTTGTCCATGTCCCCTTGCTTTTCATACTTACTATACCCACATAATTCAATCTCAGATAGTATAGGCTGTTACACTTCATTATATCTCATTTATTTTTTGGAAAAACAACTTTGTTTCAGGTTAGAACCACAACTGAAACAACTACAAACAAAATATGATGAACTTAAGGAGAGAAAATCTTCCCTTAAGAATGCAGCATATTTCGTATCTAATTTAAAGCAGCTTCATCAGGATTATTCAGATGTTCGTGAAAAAGAACCAGAAGCCAAGGAAATGGTAACTTCAATTTTTACTTTTTACTAGGCTTCAGAAGAAAAGGCAGGACGTTTGCCTCCTGGGTCACCAGAGCTTTGTGGAAAGATGTAGATGCAGCATGACCGAGTCTACCCAAAACAGCATCACTGCAACCCAGTGCAAGTCGGTTACAGCATCAGTTTTTTAGCTGCTTAGTGAGGGGTAGACAGGTATCAAGGAGGCCAGAATCACTGAGGTTATTGAATTACTTATGCTCCAGAGAACTGAATTACCTCAAGGAAAGTGTATCTTTGTGTACAAATCTCAACTGAACAACCTCTCTTCTTTTTGTAGTCTGTATTAGTCATAGTATCTTTAGTATCTTTGAAAAACAAGCTGTTACCCAGTATAAGTGACAGATCCAATGTTAGAAGTTGAGAAGTACATTTAAAAGGCATATAGTGAGAAAAAATATGATGTATTATTGTTCTCATAAATTTTGTAGTTGCTTCTGGATTTTTCTTAGACTTTAATGCTGTTATGACATCAAGCTCAGATTAATAGAGATGTTTAAGCAATTGAAAATATTATATACATTTACATATTTTAATATAATTATTTTATGTGTCAAGTATGGTTAAGTGCTCAGCTGCTAACCAAAAGGTAGGTGATTTGAACCCACCAGACACTCTGTGGGAGAGGAGACGATCTGCTTGTGTAGAGATTACAGTCTAGGACACCCAGTGGGGGCTTCTGTGGGTCGTTATGAGTTGGAATCAACTCGATAACACACAACAGCAACATTCATAGATGGATGTGATATGTTGTTGTTGTTGTTAAGTGCCGTCGAGTCGTTTCCGACTCATAGCGACCCCATGCACAGCAGAACGATGTGATAGTTTATACATATACACGTCTTATGATCAGACTTGTATTCTTCACTTCCAAATTCACTTTTAGAGTTTTGACACTACTGTAAAAATTAATTCTCCTAAGTGTACATGCCTAAAGTTTGTTTATATATTAGAGATCTGAAAATAGAATGTTTTTAAAAGTTTTTTAAAATATATTTTTTCATGTGATAATACTAACTAGTCTAAAGCTCATTATTTAGAATAAGGTATTGGATTTTGGTTACTAAACTTGGAACAAATTAAGAGTAGCATTGATTGAATTTGCAGGTAACAACTTTGGTGAATACTGAGCTTTTGTAATTCTATTTGTACTTCTGTCCCATTTGCCTTATATACTGTGTGTAGGTATTTGGTATATGCCTTACCTGTTTTTCTAAATTGAAAATCCAGCATGAAATGTTAGTTCTTCTTTGCTCTTCCTAAAGAGTAGGTGCCCACTGTTTTGAACCCATTGGGCCCTCAAATATTTCTTACCGAGTTCTTCAGAACTTCATTTTATCTATGAGTGGTACTCACAGTCGACAGCATTCATTACTAAGAAAATGTACTAATTTTTATTATTAAGAAAATCATCTTGGAAACATATTAACAAACTATAGAAGCATGATAAAAATTCTGTAATGGAAAAAAAATTAAAAATTAAAAAAAAAAAATCTGTAAGGGGAAAGCATTCAAACAATCCCTCACCCTGAGATACAGTTTGCAAAAGGAAGGAATAAAAAAACTGCACGAAGTTCAGCTTTGTTAATTATGTCAAAATCATGAATTGCGTTTTGTGTTCTACTTTATGTTGGGTTTGTATTCTAATTTTTGTCTTTATTAATACCATGCATGTAGATTGGCAACCTGTCAGATATTTAATTGATGTTCCCAGTCAATAATTCTTCTAGATGCTAGATTTTGTTTTTTGCCTTTTTTGTTGGCCTTTTGTGGTCTTGATGTTCTCATTCCTTCATTTTTTTCAGGAAAAGCAAACCTGCCTTAGAATTTTGTGTTTTAAAATAGACCTGAGATCAAGCAGACCCTATGTAGCTCTGACACACTTGTCCAAACTAAGTCTTGACCTGTTTCAGGAATGATTTTGTGTTTTAAATAATTCAGATGCGATAGTTCCTTGAATCAGCTGGTCTGGGATGAGGAGATCAGTTCAGGCTTTGCAGAATCCCTTGCATCCTTATGTTATCAATTATGTCCTAAGAAAAATTAATTAAGACCAATTTTCATAATGGTCCTCCTTTAAAAATGAAAGGAGGAGCTAATGGAAAGCTCTATCATAATTGGCACATTTGATCATAAGATTCAGCTATGTAGAAGACAGTATTGTTATGAAAATTTTTTATATTTGTTTATCTAAATAAGTGGTTTTCCTTCAACAGTATGATTCATCCAGCCTTCCAGCTCTGTTATTAAAGGCAAGAGGACTTTTGGGAGCTGAAAATCATCTGCGAAACATCAACCATCAATTAGAGAAGCTCCTTGGCCAGGAATGAGAAGAGCAGTCTACTAAAATGTACCTGTAAAAAGATTAGTCTTATGCTCCTGTCTGTTAATCTTCTGAAACTGTACTTTTTATTTATTAATAAAAATCCCTTTTTTGAAAAATTAAAGTGGGGGGATGTATATTTTTATCTGGATTTTTCACAAAGAAGATTTGGGGGACAACTGAAACTTTATTAATGTTAATTTGAGTTGAATATGTATTTTTATTGTTATAGTAACAGTCTCAGCTACATGAAAGTAACTCATTTAATTGTTTGGGCTGGAAGTATGGCCTTGTCACCAGAATTTAGTAGTATTATTTTGTCATCAAATCAAATTATTGTGACAGTGTTAAATGGCCTCAGTTTGGTGTCATAATATCATCTTTTCTAGTTATTATTTTCTTGAGCAATAAGTTGTTATAAAATTGATACCTTAACCTAATTACCTCCCGATGTAAGTTTTGAGCTATAAATGAACTTGCAAAATCAAATAGATGATGTGAACATAGATTGGTTTTGGTTAATAAAGATTTCTATTGAATTTAAGTATACCAAATCTAATTTTTAATAAAGTTGGTTTACTTAAGTAAAAAGACAATAGTTGAAAGGCAAAGTGGTAAAACTTAGTTGATATTAACAGGTTTAAGTTAAAATAATATGCTTATGTTATCAAATCTAATATTTAATTTTCAGGCATATCAAACCCTGCTTATGAAAAATAAGTGTCCATAGTTAATTAGCTACTATTGTAATACTTCTAAAATTAGTTCATCAGGAATTTCATCCACTCCACTGCTATAACTGAGAAGACTATTCGCTGTCGCTTCAGCCAACTCAGCATCTTCCACAGCTTCTGAAAAATCAGCATCGTCAATGCTATTATCCCAGTCATCATGGGAAGAATCACCTCTTGACAACTTGATCTCATTGTTCCTTGTTTCATCTGTTGTAAATTCCTCTTCCTTTGTTTCCATGGTGGAGAGTAAGTAAGTGAGGGCAAGAAAATAAAAGTTAGTCAGTCATAATATATGCTAATTTCACCATATACTCAGTCTGTGTCAGATTAAGGTATTAAGTAATAAGGCCAGTTCTTTAACAGATAATAAACAAATATGCTAGATGATGAATACTGTGTCCAATATAGTGACCATGGGAATAAGTTCACTAATTGAAATGTTGCTTCTTACACTGCGATTTAGATACTTCTGAACTCCAAATTTGAAATTATCTGCAGCTCCCGTGGCACATTCTTTTCAGTATCCTCAGGCAAGGCTAGAACAAGGACTTACTTACTTTTTTTTTGTTAAGTGCATACTGCAGCTGAAGACAAACTGGAAGACATTCACATAGGCTTATTTCCCTAATTTAATAGTACTTTAAAAATTAATAAGAACATTGAAATAATTGCTAAAGAACACTTTGGCGACTGTGGTCAAAATATGACTGGCTTATACATTAACCACTTGCCATGAAGTGGATTTTAACTCGTAGCGAGCGACTCCATATGTGTTAAGAGTAGAACTGTGCTCCATAGAGTTTTCAGTAGTTGATTTCTTAGAAGTATGATGCTAGGCCTTCTTCCAAGGTGCTTCTGGGTGGACCTGAATTTCCAACCTTGTTAGCAGCTGAGCATGTTAACCACTTGCATCACCTAGGAACTCTGTGTTACATATACTAGGTAATAGTAAATATCAATGTTAAATTTCCTGGATTTAATAATTATATCACAGTTATATAAAAATGCCCTTACTCTTCAATAAGCCAAAAAATCAAACCCACTGCCGTTGAGTTGGATCTGACTCATAGTGACCCCTCCTTGGATTTCTGAGGAGGTATCACTATGGAAGTAGATTGCCTAACCTTCCTTCTAAGGAGTGGCTGGTGGGTTTGAACCGCCAGCCTTCTGGTTAGCAGTCAAGTACCTTAGGCACTATGCTACCAGAGCTATAACATGCTTAAATATTAAGAGATGAAAGTTTTTGTGTCTGCAACTTACTCTCAAATGATTCATCAAAAATGATGTGTATGTGTACAGTTGAGAGAAAAAAAAAATATGGTCAAATGGTAACAATTAGCAAATCTAGGTATAGGGTATATAGGAGTATCTTGTACTTGTGCAACATTTCTGTAGATCTGAATTGTTTTTTAATTCAGAATTTGAATAACATAATTTAAGAAGTTTTTAAAATAAGTAAGATAACCCAATAGGAAAGCAAAAATAAACTACTTGGGAATTTACTAAAATAGATGAAGCAGAAATGACAAAATGTTAACTGCTAAACCTAAATGATGGGTACATGGGTATTCATTATTCTGTTCTGTTTAGATGTTTGAAATTTTTAATAAAATCAAAACAAATAACACATATATCCAGGCATTGGTAATAATGCACACCAAAAGTACTTCATGTGATTATTTCTGAGGTATTCCTAGATAAACAGGAAATAGAAAATTTTTAAAGTCCACTGAAGTCATACTTGTCAAAATGACACTTCAGATGAACAAGAAT